CTTTAATAATAGAATGTGTACCCCATGGTTAAAAAATACCTATACGCCTGTAATAAAATACCAATATAAAATTATAAAAAGTATATATCGTCTTTCTAAATCATTCCCAAACATAAGATTGTTGTTTAGGCCACACATACCACGTAATATTAGAATAAGCACCTCTTAGTTTCAAAATACTTACAGTATAAATGATTTGTAATTTTACAGGTTGTTACCCCTTTATTCCCTAAACTTCGCATATTATTCCCTTATACCTACACGGAGGTACTGAATAGCTACACTATAATTACAAAAAAACTTACACTGTAACTTCAGTTTACTTACGCAGTTCTTTGCAGGTTGCATATCTGGTTGTTACCCCCTTATTACCCAAACGTAACACATTGTTCCCTTATACCTACACGTATGTTCTTTATAGGTACACTATAATTACAGAAACGTACACCGTAAATTCAGTATACTTACATAGTTCTTTGCGGGTTGTAATCTAAAGCATTACCCTTTTCTTTTCTCCACTAGATTTAGTCATTTTGTTAGCATAGCAGATGACACCATTCACATTTCTTTGTTTGGTTGCATTTGTTTTAGCTGAAGACTCCTCTATGGATGCGGTCAGCAAAACACTGTAAGTTCACACTATTTTCTCTGTACGTGTCTCTAAACATGACTTCAATAAATAAACCACAGTCATTTTAAGTGAAAGGCCGGATGATTCCAACCATTTTAGCCAGTCATTGTGTTTTAGATTCGATCCAGAAAACAGGAACCAATACAACAGTTCATTGTCATGTTTGTCTTAATCATTTGTTGTTTAAGAAAACATGTGGTAAGCAGTTTTTTGTCCCTCAACAGCAGAATACCAAAATTATTTAACATCTCTGAATTTGTCACAACCGTAAATGTTTGTTTAGCTTAAATATTAGTTTTAGTCTTTAGCTATTTACTAAGGTGTCGGGCATGATGCTTATATACATATAATGATTATGATACGATTATGATATGAGTTCCAGGTTCCGGGTGCCTGTAAGCAGTGAAAACTCGAAAAGGAAATGTGACAGAGACAAGAGTGTTTCTCAAGCAGTCCTCTTTTAATCTTTTAATAATATATCTTTTAATAAAATATTGCATTGAATCTCACTAAGTCAAATTCAGTAACAGTGTTCATAAATACTTTGAAATGAATATAAACATACAAATCTTTATAGTGACAGTAAGTAAATGTAATATAGTGTAGCGAATCAGCTCATGGGGAAATATGAATAATTAACCATAACTAGTTATAATTAACTATTCATATATTAGATCCGCTGTAGATATTTAGCTGACCACTCAGGGTCAACTGTCTTGTCAATTCTAAGAACGTTAATTTCCTGGTTAAGGGAAATAACTGCTAAACTCTGCAGGACACCGGCCCTCCAGGACCGAGTTTGGGCACCCCTGTTATAATAGATAAATGAAATGTGCACTTCTTTTATTTTATTTATTTATTTATTACATGATTCCCATTTATTTATATTCATGATTTCTAGTATTTGTACAGGCTTTACATTTTTATTTCAATGTTGTAATTATCAATTCATGTAATTTTATCTTTGAAGCAGATGTTATGTGAAAGCATTAATTAAAGTTTCTTAAGGGTCAAGATCAAGTTATCTGCATCTCCTGCGCTCCATCAAGCCACTCCCATAATAGCTGCCAGCACTCAAATTAATGCACAACTCAGATTAACTGTATAGCATATGTGTAAGACTCGAATACAATCATAAAGTAAATATTTGATCACAAATAAATCTTTCAATGAGTAAAACTGGCTGTGTCTATAGTATTATAGATTACACAACATTCTAACATTATTTTCAAATTAATTTTTAAATTATTATCATTTTAAATGATTGTCCCCGGGTTAGTAGAGTGCTCTTGTAATACATGATCAGTGGCTGGGATAGATTTTAAAGGGGTCATATGACGTTGCTAAAAATAACATTATGTTGTGTATTTGGTGTAATGCAATGTGTTAATGCTGTTTAAGGTTCAAAAAACACATTATTTTCCACATACTGTACATTATTGTTTCTCCACCTTTCTGAAACGCGTCGATTTTTACAAAGCTCATCGGTCTGAAAAGCATGGTGTTCTCTGATTGGCCAGCTATCCAGTGCGTTGTGATTGGCCGAATACCTCAAGCGTGTGACGGAAATGTTACGCCCCTCACCATACTGTGATGATGCTGTGTCCAGCCGGAGCGATAATTCAAAAACATTAAAACCCATTATAAACGAGGCATTTGTTGCATCCAGGGGGGTCATAATTACGGATTATAATGATTTATACTGTGTTATTGCGTGCTGCGTATCACGCTGCGTAAACATAAAACCATGTCTGCATTTGTGATCGGAGAAATGACAAACAACAAGTGCTACTCTACACTGCTCAAAACTCACGTTTCAATCATCAGTGGCAAATTCTTTAAATATAAAAAACGTAGTCTGTGAGTCAGAAGCGCCAGACTGTCCTTGCAAAGTTGGAACTGCCCCACTTTATAGAACAGCCTTTGATTGCCACGTGTTGTCTAACCCCAATAGAGTTCAGAATGTCTATGAATGCTGATCCCAATGCATCTTTTTCATTATCAACATGAATATTAAAATCAACAACAATTAAAACTTTATCTGCAGCCAGCACTAACTCGGATATAAAATCAGCTAATTCTTTAATAAAGTTTGTATGGTGCCCTGGTGGCCTGTATACAGTAGCCAGTACAAACATCACAGGGGATTGATCATTAACACTTGTTTCTCTGGACAATGTTATATGAAGCACCATTACTTCAAATGAGTTATGCTTGAAGCCCGCCCTCTGACAAATACTGAAAATATTGTTATAAATTGTAGCAACACCTCCCCCTTTACCTTTTGGACACGGCTCATGGTTATAACATTTAACGATGCGTAAACAAAAATATAACCTAATAAGTTGCAATTAAGGTATATTGAATGTTAAAATGCATTTCAAATATAAATATACAACCGCTCAATATAAAACTCGGCACTTCAGGTGAAATCGACTGTACTTTTTGTACCACCTCAAAAATGGTACTAAAAATAATATTGCAGTTGTCAAGATACATCAGTGGCAATGAACTCCTCCACGTCATTGATACTCTTGACAGTGATTTCACCCTGGCTGATTATTGGGTAGTCATAATACAATTCTGTCAAACAATGGGAGGATTCATTGGGAATATTTCATCTTATTTCACTGTAACAGTCTGTAATGAACATTTTTAGACTTTTTTGTACACACATTTATACACTATTTAAGTGAAGAACTTTGACCTCTGAAAACTCAAGCAGAGGAATACATTAAATAGTGTTTTTTTTATCTGTTGTACTTTCCCACTGTGAGTTTTGACATTAGCTTTGCCACCCTCTTTACTAAAAAGAATACCTTTCAGGTACATCTCATCTGCATCTGTCATGAAGAATGCTGATTTGGCATCAAAGCGGGTGTTCTGAACCTCGATTCGCTCTCTTTCTGGCTGCCAGAGATAAATTGGCCGCCGAGCCGAAACACTCCATTTCACCATCTCCCATGATTGTACTTTTCTGTTAAAAAATATTAATAGGTACACATTTTTATGTGTCAAACTTACTGAAGTTATAAAAACAATGTGTTCCACTATTAATTATTATTTTGCATTAACATAGTATTTTCATTAAAATGCAGTATATCATTACGTGTACGTCCAAGCTGCTCACCTTTTTGTTTTTCAAGGCCAGAAGGTTTCTGCTAGGTTCTGTTAAATAAATACATGGACACAGATTATTTATTGGATATTGTTTTCTGTTAATATATAATCTCATGTATGCCCTTTTTCTTTTAATGATATCAAACATTCCTATTAATGTCAACCAAATGTAACAGTAAAAAAAATGTATTAATTAAAATGATCAATTTAAATTAAATTAATAATTTTGGCCCAGCAGAGTCTTGACTCACCTTCTAGTGGTTGGCAGTCCCTGAGGTCCAAGATATCTCTTTTTATATAGACTCAAGATGTTGTCTCAGCAATGCAGCCACTGTATTTGGTTATAATGGGCTGGGTTTTACTTTCTATTTATGATGAATGTGTTCTGTTCTGTTTTTATGCTAGTATACAGTTACACACCCTCATAGAGTGATTGATAAGAGAAGTCAATGTAATGTCTTTGCATTTAAATAATTTTACTTCACACAATATGAAAATGTGTATACTGTAAACCTCATGTTTACTTAAAC